AAAACATGGGAGTGCATGCAGGATGGAAATGCTCCTGCCTTTGTGTATGTGCATCACAACGAGCCTGGAGTTTTTTAGATGAGGATTGAGAAAGCCTAGCTTTAATCTCTTGGAGGCTGTGCACATACATGTGGATTTCTTTTTGCAACCTCTCCTCAAATATAAAAGGAGGTTGCAGAGATGTGTAAGGATGGGTATTGAGGTACCTGACTGGGCTGGCAGGGCTGAGCTCTTTCCTAATGTTGCTAATTGGCCCCTTTGCAGCTAAAAATAGGCTTCTAAAAAGGCCTGTACGGTCCTTTGTGATCTCTTAGATTCGGCGGCTTGTCCTTTGCCTGCGCTAAGGTCTGTTTATCTGCAGAGGCTCTGTCCCCATGCAAGCCAGCTCTTGCAAAGAATGCATTTGTGGGAGGATGGGGTAACCGGGCAAGTAAGAGGGAGCAGAGGAGGTGACTGGAAGGGGAGGTGGTGCTGCTGGGTGGAGGCGAGCGGAGATGGACCCCCCCCCCTCTTCGCGAGAAGGCAGCGCTCTGCGTTTGAACCTCTTTGAAAAGCAAAACTAGTCCCCAACCCTGTTGTTTCTGGCTGGGCAGAAACAGTCCTTCCAGCTCCCTCCTCGGCGTTAGGGAGATGTGCTGATGTGGTGTAAATCACAGCGACGCGAGGGATCTGTGTGTGCGAGGGGAGCTGGTGTGCTGCTTGCTGGCAGGACAGGAGCTTCTGGCTTGTCCCTCTGCTTTTGACAGGGACTTGGAGGGGCGGGGGGTGGATCCAGTGAGCCCAAAGCAGTGAGCCTGTGGACAGGGGGGCTCCTGCCAGGCCGTGGCTGCCATCGCTGTCTCGGCTGGGACTGGCGAGGTGAAGCAGAGTTGGTGATGCTTCAGCCTCGCTGAGCTGCACGGAGGCTGGCAGTACCTGTGTGGTGGAGGGATCCTGCTGGCAGCGTAGGCAGACTGCTCTGAATTATTGAGGAGAATTAACGTGCTGCTCGTAGAAGTTCTTGCTAGGATAATTTTTCCTAAGCTGGGGTCCTGCTTTTCCAGAGAGGGCTCTGGACCATGGTGAGTGCGTGGAAGCCGTTCTCCAAGGCTTCCCGTAGAAGAGGGGGGATAACGATTGTCTTCTGTCTGGGGGAGAAGCGAGGAAGGTGAAATGTTGAGTCTTCACAGGCCACTCAGTCCTTGGTGTCTCTCTGCTCTTTTAATCAGGAAAACATATTTCTCCTGTCTCTCCACACCGCAGCATCCGCTCTTATGTCAGTTTGAGATCATTCCTCACCTGCTGCCAGCCCACCAGCCAAGGTGCTAAAATAAAGATAACAGGGCAGCCTGCTATCTCGGCTTGCAGCCCCTGTTTGCATCTGATGTTCATCTACCAGCTCTCCAGCTTCCCCCAGGCAATTTGGCAAAGCTGCCACCCTCCCGCTCTCCTCCTTGCTGCTCCAGAGGGGCTTTGTCGTGCTGGTGGGGAGCAGCCGGATGGATTTGTGGCTCTGGCTTTGGGGCCGAAGCCGTGCGGAGGGGAGCAGCCTCGGGGAAATGCTCTGTGCTGGTGCAGCTTTCACCAACCCCTCATCCCTTACAGGAATTATTTTCCCCCGAGGTTGCATCTCTCCAATGGGCTTTGCAAGCCCTTCCCTGTAGCTGCTGTAACTGGTGCTCTGGTTCTCCTTATTCCTCGGGGAGCGGAAAAGCAGCATGATCTGCCCGTGCCCACGCGCTGGGATGGAGTGCTGAGCTCAGAGCTCTGTCCTGCACCTGCCTGGGGAGTCTCTGGCCTCAGCCCAGTGGGAGCAGCAGCGTTTCCCCCCTTCTCAAAATTGGAGGGGGGGTCTGTAAAGGTTGGGAGGGCAGGGCCTGGGGAGGAAGGGGCCACGGCACGGGAGCCCGGAGGTGTGATGGATGTGGCTGCTCCAGCCCTGGGTTATCCGCCGGGGATTCGGGTCTCACCTTTGGTCGGCCCAGGCTTGGGAGGAGACGGCGGCTTTGAAGGCTGGTGAGAAGGGAGCTTTTTAGTGAAACCTTAATCCCCTCCGGAGAGCTTTCCCTAATCCTCAGTAATGTGCTGTTCAAAAGGCCTCTTTCAAAGGAACAATTGCACTTTTGCTGTTGTATCTCTCCTTCCCCGAGGAATTGCCCAAAGGTGTTCCTTGCTGACTGTTTCCTCTCATTTTTCTCTGATAAATAGAATTAATTCCCTTAAAATATAATGGAAGGAGCAATTTCCTCAGCGGGTAGTGCCGAATCTGGCTGATTGATTTGGAGAGATTTCTGCTGTCAAGGATGTATTTTCACTTTATTCTTCCCCCCTCCCTGGAGGAGAACCGCAGCCTTTTCCCCTAATAACCAAATGTAACACTTCCAACGCTGAAATCAAACCTCTTAAGTGTGGAGGAGGGAGATATTGCAGGAAATGAGCATCAAAATTTCTTTCAAGAAACAATTTTTTTATTACTAAGGTCCCTAGCCATGACATGGGCTGTTTCCTGTGGCCACGGCCCTGATTTTGGGGGTGCAAGTTCAAACCAACTCTGTTAATAACTTCTGAATGTGCTGCAAGAGGGGGTCAGCAGGGAAGTCTCTCAGGATTAGGTCATGGGGTGGGATAGTTTGGAAAAAATGTGTATGTCTATATTTATATATACACCCACATATACATACTTCTCTGTATATTGAACTACTGCAGCACCTTTGCTCAGCCACGGGAGCCCTAAGGAAGGGCTAGAATGCTCCTCGGCCTCTCTGCTCAATTCTGCAGCATTTCAGGGCAGAAAACCATGATTTAGAGAGTGGTTGGGACACTGCCAGCTCGCTCGGCTGCCTGCCAGCAGGACGTGAACCTGGCACATTCAGGTCCATATTCACATCGCTCTGACTTAGTTTATTTTTAATTTCTCCAGCAAGTTGATACCTTGCTCCCTGCCGGTCCGGTGCTGGCCACGTTCCACCGGGGTTTGCATTCCCAGCTCGCAGGGTCGGCTGTGCTGGTGCCCACTGGCGTGGAGTCTGTGCCCACGGCAGGCTGGAGACTGGGATTTGTTGTTTGCTCCCCTTGCCACTGGAAACAAGAAAATGACCAGTCTTCCAGCCTGCCCCAGGGCTGAAGGGTGTGCGGTGGTGTTGGTGACATAAAGGACAGTGGTTGTGCCTGATGTGTGTGTCCCCCAGTGCCAGTGATGGGTTTGAGCCCCAGTTCGGCCCTGATCTCCTGGTGGGGAGCCTGGACTGACAGAGAAGCTTCTCCCACTGCTCTGGGAAGGGCGTCTGCTTTTGGGAGATTTTGTGGCGCTGGGATGCTCAGCCCTGCCCTGCTCGGGTTTTCCTGAGTGTCCTGGTGGGAATATCCCCGTCCTCGCTGCCTCAGTTTCCCTGAGACACATCTGGGGTGCGGCTGTTGTGAGAGTGCTCCTCTACGAAGGTTATTGCTGCTTTTTTTTAATCCTCACAGAGAGAGTGGTGAAATATGGAGCAATCAAGGCTGCTGCCCTACAGACTCCAAGCTGCTGCGGTCTCTTGGCTTGGCAGGACCGCGGAGAAACACCCCCCCCGCTACCCCTGTGCACCCCAGTGCCCTTCTCAAGGGGAGCGGGAGGAAAAGGCGGCAGGCGCTGGGACGCTGGGGCTGGGTGGGAAAAGCAAAGTGCAAGGAGGTGCGGTGGCAATGCTTAGGGGGCTGGAGCAGGGGAGGGGGACATCCCTCTAACCCCCCCCCCCCCAAACCACACCAGCAAAATGCTGCTGCTGTGTGCAACCGCTGGAGTGCAAAGCTGGTGCCTGCGACGTCTGCAGGCACAGGCCGGTGCGCGGCACATGGACGCCACGTGCACCCCGGTGCGCGGCACCCGTGCCCCTCGCACGCCGCCCACCCAATGCAACGGCCTCCCATGCACGTACCCTGCACCCCCCCAATCACCTGGGGGCTGGGTGCCCGTCCTCCCCACCCACTCTCTCCTTAGGCGGCGTGAGCGGAGCAAGGGTGCGCAGGGGTTTTGGGGGCCGGTCCTGCGCGGTGCGAGGAGTCGAAGCATTTGCACGGGGAGCCTTCCCCCCCCTCCCCGGGGTCACCTCCTGCTTTGGGAAGCGTGGCTGGAGCAGAGGGGGACACGGGGGGTGTGACCCAAGGGAAGGTCTCCAGCCGTGCGGCATCGCTCGGGGCAGACCCCCACACGCAGCGGGGTGGAGTGGGGTGTCCCCAGCTCTGCTGGAGCACCCAAGCCCAGGGTGCTGGTGGCTGCCAGCACCTGCAGTTGGCAGCTTTGGCGAAGGGATGGAGCCAGGAGGGACAAGGCCGCGGCGTGGCCCCGCTGCCGGGGTTCGGGGGACCCCCAGGGCCCGGCTGGTGGGGGGCAACGGGGCCACAGCACCGGCTCAGGATGTGGCCCCTTCCCTTGTGCCCGGCCCTGGTGGAAAGCGAACAGCCCCCCCCGCCGGCTGCTGGGGCTGAGTGCTGGCACCGTGCTGTCTGCTGGGGCTTCCCAGCCGGCCACGCGTGTCTGCATGTGCACACGTGGGTGAGCACACACCCCCTCAGCATGCGTGTAGCACGTATGCGTACATGTGTAAAACGCCGGGTGTGTACGTAACGCACGGTAAGCCGCGTGTCAGCGCGTTCTCGTGGCACACCCACGGCGGGGGTGTGTGCGTGTGTGTACATGCAACGTTCAGCCCGTGGGTGCGCGCACGCGTGAGCCCGGCCGCGCGTGGAGGTACGAGTGTCAGCGTGTGGACCCGCATGTTTTTGGGTGGCTGGAGGTTGGGGGGGAAGTGGGGTGGGGTGTGTGGGTGGGTGCGTCCCCGCGCGCGTGCGCGTGTCGACGTGCCGCCGTGTCCGCCTGTCCGTGCACGGCCCCACGCGAGGGCGCGTTCTCGCCCACCCCGCCTGCGCATGCGCGGAGTGTCGTGTTCCCCCCCGGTCACCCTCCGACTGCGCCTGCGCATATCATTCTCTTCCTTCCCCTGGCGCATGCGCAGTCGGCACTGCCTGCCGGGCAGCGGCGGCGTGGAGCGGGGGGGGGGGGGGCGGTGGCTGACGGGACCCCCCCGCCATGAGCGCCCCGGACCCCGGGATGCGGTTTGCGGAGAGTCAGCTGCAGCGGCACGGCTGGCGGCGAGGTGGGGCCCGCCCTGGGCTTCCCCACCCCCCCACCCCCGGTGGTCCCCGGCCCACCCCCCCCCCGGTCCCTGTCCCACTCTCCCCCGCTCTCCCGGTGCGATCCCCCGCCGCCCCCCCCCCCCAGCTTCCCGGAGGAGCAGGGCTCGGCCTCGCAGCCTTCCCCCCCTCTCCCCGACACTTGGGATTCTCCCGGTGGGAACCCCCCGTGGCCTCCCCCGGGTGGGGGGGGGGGGGGGGGGGGGGGAAGTGTGTGCGTGTGTGTGTCGCTGCGGCGGGTGACCGGTGGCCTTGTCCCTAGGGCGGGGGCTGGGGAAGCGGGAGGACGGCATCGCCGAGGCCATCCGGGTGAAGGTCAAGTGTGACACGGCGGGGGTGAGTGCAGCCCCCACACCCGGTGTGTGTGGGGGGGTCCCGTCCCGTCACCCACCCCCCCCCCACCACCACCACCACCTGCGGCCGTTTCAGTGGCTCCTCTGCACCCCCCAGGTGGGACACGACGCGGCGGAGCCCTTCTCCTTCCACTGGTGGGACCACGTCTTCAACAAGGCGGCTGCCAACATCGCTGTGGAGGCTGGGCAGGTGGGAGGGCTGGGGGGGTGACACACACCCTGGTGGGGCTGGGATGGGGTGGAAGACGATGGGGGGGGGGCTTTGCAGTCCTCTGTACCCCTCCAGCACCTCGCAGCGGGGACCATGGTGGCAGAGAGGTGCTGCTGGAAGGGATGAAGCCCCTCGGACCAAACGCTCCCGAGCCTTTTGCATCCCTCTCCCTCCAGGATGGCGTCTCCATGAAGACCCTGTCCGAGCAGGGCGTCAGGATCAGCAATAAGAAGCCCCGCGCGGCCGGCGGCACCGGCAGCATGCTCTACGGCCGCTTCGTGAAGGTAACCGACCCTGGGGGAGCAGCCGGCATCTCTGCAAAGGCTGCTGTGAACTCGGCACCCCGCCACACACCTCCCTTTGCAGCACAGCCTCTCCAGCCCATCGCTGCTATATCCCCCAGCACTCCCCCCGCCACCCCCCTCCTCTTTTTCTTGTCCCCTTTTCTCCCGGCCCCTCTGCCTCTCCCCGCTGCAGGCAGCCACGCTCACGGCACGCGGGGAGGAGTCCACAAAGCTGCCCGCCGGCTCGGAGAGCAGCGAGGAGGAGGAGAAGCTGGACCTCTCTTCAGCCAGGAGGCAAGGCTGGGGCAGCGGTGCACGTCCTGTCCCCACGACGCAGCAGTGGGGAGGGACGAGGGCTGCAAGGACCGTGCTCCCCCCTCATGTTGATGCTGGGGGGTGACACGTCCTGTCTCCGTCCCGCAGGCTGACGGACGAGGAGCTGATGCGAGTGTGCGGGGGCCGCACGGCACACAAGTAAGTGGCTGGGCTTCCCCCCTCCTGGCAGGGGCTTCCGAGCAGGCTGGGCTGGGGGGCACGTTCCCTGCCAGACCCCGGCTGCCCGCAATCGTTGCAGGGGTGCCCGTCACGGCCTGACCATGAGCGCCAAGCTGGCACGCCTGGAGGAGCAGGAGCGAGCCTTCCTGGCCACGTACCGACACAAGGACCGGCAGCGTGAGCCCCCGGAGAGCAGCCCCCCAGCAGAGAGGCAGGAAAAAAAGAAGAAAAAAAGGAAACAGTCCAGAGACAGAGTTGATCCCAAGATGCTGCAGAGTCAGGAGCCAAGCGGAGAAGGGGAGGTCTTGAAGAAGAAGCGGGAGCCAAGTGGAGAAGAGGAGGTGGCAGGAGAGGAGGAGAAGGCTGCAAAGAGGAGGAAGAAGAAGAAGAAGGAGGAGGACAAAGAAGAGCCAGTTGAGATGGAGAAGAAGAAGGAGGAGGACAAAGAAGAGCCAGTTGAGATGGAGAAGAAGAGGAAGAAGGACAAAGAAGAGCCAGTTGAGACGGAGAAGAGGAAGAAGAATAACGAGGACAAAGAAGAGCCAGTCGAGATGGAGAAGAAGAAGAAGAAGAAGAAAAAGGACAAAGAAGAGCTAACTGAGACAGAGGTACCTCTACAAGACACAGATGGGCCAGACCAGGCTGGGCACAGCCCCAGGAAGAAGAAGAAGAAGAAGAGGAGGAGGGAACCATCATGAGCAAGGGCCAAGGCTGCCATGCTGCGCAGCTGCCCCTACCAGCTGGCTGTGAGGGTCCTGATGCTGCCTGCTGGCACTGATGGGTGCCCGAGGGTGCTCTGGGCTCTCCCCAGGTGGAGCCCGGCACTGTGGCCCGGCTGCGTGTCCACTGCGGGAGGCTGCTGGGCTGGGACTGGTTGGTCTGGAGCTGGATGGAGCTTTATTTCACTCCTCCTGTCAGGGGTGACCCCAGTTTCCACCAGGCCCTGGGGCAGGGACACAAAGGGACAGACCCCCACAGAGCATTGAAATATTTTTTCAAGGGCACAAATAAATCTTTATTGCAATGAAACTATCCTGAAGTGCAAGACATGCGGCAGACCCCGGGATCCCAGATCGTGTCTGTACTTCCCTCGAAGCACTCAGACCAGGTCCCAAGTTCCTGCGGGCTTTGGTCTGCACTGAACTTCGATCCTGCTGGCAGAGCTGGGTAGGATGGAGCCCAGCGAGGTGCTGACCATCCTCCTCGCAGAGGGCTGTGGCTTTGGCAGAATTAGGCCCTGATCTCCTATGCTGAATCCTAGCCCAGCGCCCCAAACCCCTGCTGAGCCCCAGCCCTAGTTCAGCTGCAGGACGCAGTCTGTCTCGGGGTATGGTGGCAGGTTTAAAGTGTATTTCTTTTGGAGCGCGGCCGGCACAAACCTGCCCCCGAGGAAGTGGTAGCGGCCAGTGAAATGCGCTGCTGCCTTCTTGGGTGCCGTGAGCGAGATGAGCATGTCGGGCTGGAGACCATCCGCCTTCCCTTTCTCCACGTCCCAGCCTGAAACAAGTCCCGAGGCCGGGCTGGAGCCGGGAGGACCCCGGCCGAGCACCGTCCTCCCGTGAGTCCGGCCTTTACTCACCCGAGGGGATGTCGATGCTGGCGATGGGCACCGTGATGCGCTCCAGGGTGCTGAGGATGCTGCCGAAGGGCTCCCGCACCGCTCCCTGGAAGCTGAACCCGAAAATGGCATCCACCACCAGGCCGTAGAGCTCGTCGATGAGCGCAGCCTGCGGCGGGGAAGGTGGCGGGTGAAAAAAACAGCCCCGAGGAAGGAGGACGGCTGCTCCCTGGCTGAGGGGCTGCTCCTCACCTCTCCCGGGAATTCAGGGAGGAAGGGGATATCCATCTTCTGGCACTGGGTGGTCAAACCTTCAAACAGGGGCTTGTTGGGGCGCTTGGGGTAATACACGGTTGGTTCGTAGCCCTGCAAAAGCGGGAGGGACCTGGACAGTGCTGTGGCGCCAGGAGCAGCCAGAGGAGTGGGAACCCCAACGCCTGCGGGTATGGGGGGTGCATGGGGGGCAGGCAACACCCCACCACCACCCTTGCGGGGGGTGGAGTGTGTGGCCGCTCGCACAAGAGACTCACAAACATTTTCAGGTGCCGGGCGCAGACCAAGCCGTCGCCACCGTTGTTGCCCGGCCCACACACGACCAGCACGGCGGGCTGGCTAGTGGTGAAGGAGCTGGGGGGGTAAGCCTGGTGTGGGACAGGAGGTGTAGGGTTACGCCGGGGAAGTGGGGCCACGCCGTGGGGCCCGGATTCCACACCCCCCCCCCTACACCACCACCTTGTGCCCACCTTGGCGATGGCGGTGGCGCAGCTCAGCCCCGCCAGCTCCATCAGCTGGTCCACGCTGAATTTATACTCTGTGAAGAGCTCCTGGTCGATGGCCTGTGCCTCCTCCTGCCTGGGGGGGGGGGAGGGCACCCCCGGGGGTCATGAAACTCGGCCGGCCCGTCGGGGCCAGCTGTGACCCCTTCAGCTGTGGAGTGAGGGGTGGGGGGACAGGATCCAGCTCCCCACGCTGAAACACCCCCCCCCGTGCACCTCTGCACCCCCATGCATCCTGCCCGACACCTCAGCGCCTTGTTACCCCCTACCCCCACCCCCCCTTCCCTGCACCCCCCAAATATCCCCCGTTCCCTCCACCGCTCTCCGGACACCCGTGCAATTTTTGACACCCCCCCTTCCCCTCCGCAGCCATACCCGAGGAAGCGGAGCCCCCCCGCGCTGGGCCGGTGCATGGCGCGGCGGGGGCGGCACCGGTCCCGCTCCCAGCTCCGGTCCCAGCTCCAGCCCCGGTTCCAGCAGCGCCCGCCCACGCGTGTCCCCGCCGCCACCAGTAACCCCAGTCCCAGCAGCGCCCTCGGCCCCGGCATTGGGTGGGTCACGGAGCTCGGCACGGAGCAGGCGCGGGGGCCGCCCCGGGGCGGGGCGCCCATCCCCGTGGTTGCGGGGCGGCGCCGGGCTCGGAGCCCGCGGTCCCTCGGTACCCACCCACCACCCCACCCGCGCCCTTCCCCCGGCCCCAGCACGGAAAGGAGAACGGCAAAGCAGCGGTTTCAAAACCGTGTTGGCTCAAGCACCGTGAACGCGGACACGCGGGATGCGATAGCGGCACCCCCCCCCCCCCCCCCCGACACACACACATCCCCCACGCTGCGTGGGAAGCGGCCATCTTCCCCGTGTCCTTCACCGTCACACGAGGCTGCAGATGAGGGACAGCACCCTGGTCCCCGTGCGTGGGTCGCGGCTCCAGCAGCCGGTGGCGTCAGCGGCGGGGCTGGGGGGGGGGCAGCGAGGCCACCGAGGTGTTACGGGGTGCGGGGGGCACCCGGTGGGGTGCAGAATAGAGGGGGGGTATGAGGGGGGGGGGTGGGATTTCATAGATGCTTGAACCCACCCTCAGATCCGCCGCCCCACCTATAGCAGGTTGGTTACAAGGTGCCAAAACCCCAAACCCCTCTAATTTGGGGCTTGGGGACATGGTCATTGGGGTGACCCAAGCCCTGCTGGGGGCAGGGGGGGGGTCTCCATCCCTGAACCCTCCCCTCAGAGGACACCTTGCTCGCTTCTCCAGTGTGTCACCTACCGCTCCGGGGACCTCAGCCGGAGGGGCTGGCGGTCACGACGCCCTGCGAAACGCAGCGTGAGAACCGGCAGCCCTCGGCTCGCCGGGGAAGCGAAGCTCCGGTGCTGTTTGGTACTTACACGGCGCGGTGGTGGTCGGGTTACTGGGAGCAAAGCAGAGACGGCTCGTGGAGGTGAGGGAAATCATCTGTGTGACAAACTCCCCTATCGCATCGTCACCGAACCCTCCCCGGTATCTTTTAAAATTCGTGGATTTTCACCTTTAACCACAAGAAGTCCCCACGGCAATGCCGCTCGCTACGTTACATTTGCTGCTGCTTCAAGGGTATTTGGGTGCAAGGAGCTGTATTGGGGTGCCTCCCCCTCGCCCACCCACCTGTTAACGTGGGGACGACTGCGACACCCTGGAGCTGCGCTGGGACCATCCTCATCCTCCCCAGACGTGTCCAGGCGGCCACGTGGGTCACGGCGCTCCGGTGCGGGGCCATCAGTCAGGGCTGCTCCTCTGCCTCCGGGGAGGAAGGGCAAATAGGCAGGATTCCGGTACCAGACCCTGCCGAAGCCTTGGCTCGGGCAGAAATCAGCTGTGTGGCTCAATCAAGGTGTCTGGATTTTAATTTGCACCCTCTTACCTGAATGCCCAGGACGTGCTCCTGGCACAGGCTCATTCCCACGCTGGGCTTTCCCCGCAAAGGAACTGGGGTCAAAGGGAGGAAGATTTACCTCATGGGTGATACTGGGAACTCACCCACGGAAGAAGGAGCGACATGATGGCAGGTTCCCTACTCACACCTTGCTCCCCCGGAGCCGTGCCCCGCTGGCGTGGGGCAGCGTGGAGCAAAACCACAGCTGGCCAGCGTCCTGCTGGGAAGGAGGGACGGTCCGGGGTTTACACACGCGTGTCCCTCTGCCCAGCAAACCCTGGTGCCTCTCCCCACCAACCCCCACTTGGGGTGTCAGCCCCCAGCACCCTGATCTGCCCCCCCACGTCCCTGGGGTGATGCTCACAGGGGCTGGGGCGGGCACCCGGCCCCCGCCGCGGGCGAGGCGGCCGTGGAGGCAGAGCTGGTGCTGGATGGCGTCGGTGAGCTTGTGCACAACCCTCTCGCGGGCAGCTCTGGGGGTGTCCTGTGGAGGAGAGAACCCGCGTGGGCTGGGCCGAGTGGGTCTGGGAGTGGGTCTGCCCTAGGCACCCTCCCCATGATGCACGGGAGGGTCCGGCCTCGGGGATTTCCCCGGTGTGCCTTACCTGGCAGTGGGAAAGCAAAGTCAGGGCCTCCTTGTAGTGCCCGATGGCTTTCCGGGGGTGTCCCAGGTGGAAGCAGGCTGCTCCCAGCCCCTCGCACGCTTGCCACTGCCCCTGCACGTCCCCTGCGAGGCGAAGGGCAGCATCAGCGCTGGCCCAGCGCATCGCAGCCGAGGTCCCAGGGAGGGAGCATCACTGACTCCCTTTGGATCCCACGTGCACCCCGGCTCGACTCTGCTCAGCATCCAGAGAACCCCCAGCGCCGGGAGGATTTATCTGGGCCCCCCCCTTACCCGAGTCCCGGAAGGCTTGCAGGGCATGCAGGTAGTTTTCTGCGGCACCCTCGTGGTTCCCGAGCCGGCTGCAGGCGTACGCCAGGTTCCCAAAGCACTGCCCCTGCGCCCTCCGGTTCCCTAGAGCGCCTGGAATTTGGAAACACGGGGCTGCATCCCCAGCTAGCACACCCGGCAAAGAGCGAGAGACACCGGTGCGACCTACCGTGCAGCGCCGCCGCTCGCCGGTGCCAGCCCAGGGCCGTGCCGAAGCTGCGCAGGGCGTTGTGGGCAGCACCCAGGTTCTGCAGCAGCGCAGCCTCCCCGCGCCCGGCCGGCTCGCCGCTGCGGAGAGCGAGAGCCCGCTCGAAGTTCTCAGCAGCCAGGGAGAAGATGCGGAGCTGGGAGTAGCCGAGGCCGATGTCATTGTAGAGTTTCCCTGCGGGGCCGAGAGGAAAAGCCGGGTGCGGGCGCCGCTCCCGAGGGCACCGGGAGGCCGGGGTGCGGCGCGGCGTTACCTCGCAGGGCTGGGTCGGGGATGCTCTCGCAGAGCGAGCGGCACCGGGCGAGGACCCCCGCGATCTCCGCCGCCCTGAACTGTCGGCTCTGCAGCATGGAGCCGCTCGCCCGGCTCAGGGCCACCGCGGCAGCCTCGGGGCTCGCCGCCGCCGTGTAGGTCCGTGCCGCGTCCAAGAAGCACCGCGCGGCTCGCGCCGGCTCCCGCATCCCCAGGTAGCAGCAGCCCATCTGCACGCGGGTCCCCGCTCGGCTGCCAGCCTGCGCCGCGCCGTCGTGGCCGACGGCTTTGCCAAAATACTCCAAAGCCTTCGGAAAATCCCGGAGCCCTTCGTGAACCGCCCCAATGCTGAAATAAAGATCATCCGCGTGCTCCTCGCTCTCCCCCTCTGAGGGATGGGAGCGAAGGAGGAACTCGAGGCCCTTTTTGGGCTTCCCAGTCTCCACGTAGGCAGCCCCCAGGTTGAAGGCACAAGCCCTGCGGAGCTGGGGGCTCGCTGTGCCCCCGGAGAGGAAAAAAGCCTTCCTGAAGGACCCCACCGCCTCTCGCACGTCCCCCAGCGCCAGCGCCCGGTGTCCGGCTCGCGTGAGCCCCTCGATCTCAGCCTCCCGCCCCCCTGCCTTGTCCCCTCGCTCCTGAGCATCTTCTTTGGGCTTTTCCTTCCCTTTCTTGCGGCTCTTCTTCCTGGCCGGGGGGGCTGCGGGGACCGCGGGCTGTGCTCCCGGATTAGCAGCCTCCTCTGAAGCCATGAGCAGGGGGAGCGATCTGCCTGCAAGAGAGAAAGATGCAGCGGGCAGCCTGAGCCAGCACAGTCCTGGGATTTCTTAAAACGAGCAGCATGATTTTATATTATTTAAAAAAAAAAAAAAAAAAATTAGAAAAGTCTTGTAGCTGGTTTGGTGCTAAAATTTCAGGGAGGAAAAAAGCCTTTCCATGGAGGACCCCAGCCCAGCTTCTGCACTGGGTGCCTGTCCCCCGCAAAGCTTTGTGGCTGCCAGGCAGGAGAGGGGGGGGTCACTGGGGGGGGAGTGGGGGGAAGCTGCAGCAGGGGGTGGGTGTTCCCGGGGTGTCTTGGGAGGCAGAATAACCAGTTGCATGCACTTACTGTTTGCTCTTGAGGTGCAAACGGTGTCGAGGGCGTGGAGGGGAGGGACAGGGCATCACCACCGCTTGCAGCCGCTTCGCTGCTGCGACCCACCGCTCTCCGGACGGGGACAGAGGGTGACCAAAGGGCCTCCGAGTCCCACCGGGGCTGGGCTGCCTGGAAAGCCACCCGAAGCCGGTCACAGCCCCCCCCGGGTGACGGACGCCGGTGCCCGGGACCTGGCGCTGGAGCACAGATGGATTCTGAGCGCCAGGAAAGCGTCGGGGTCGTGCGTGACACGCACAAACCGGGACAAAGCCAGGTCCCCTCCTGGGGAGGGCACGTTCCGCAATGGCCCCGGGGGGCTCCGGTTTCATCTCCGTCACCGGCGCGGTGTACAGTGCCATGGCAACTCGGTTCAGGCGCGCCGGTGTGAACCGCGGGATGGACGGCACAACCGGTCCCGGCTTGTTTAATGGGGGGGCACGCTCGTGGTTTGGAGCGGTTTGATGTATGGGCACGGTGCAGCGAGGGTGAAGGGCACCCCGGGGCCGCCCCCCACATCCTGGGGTCCCCCAGCAGCCCCCGCCCATCCCAACCCGGGTGGGCAGAGCGCGGTGTGGGCCGGGGGTGCCCTGCTGACAGCCGGGTGGGTGCTCCCGGTGTGTGTAGATCCTGATCCCCCCCTGCACCCCCGGTGTGTGTCACCCCCTGCACCCCCAGTTTGCCCCCATACCCTGGTGTGTGCCACCCCCTGCACCCCTGATCCCCCTTTTCACCCCAGTGTGTGCCCACCCCCTGCAACCCCTGCACCCCGGTGTGTGCCACCTCTGCACCCCTGATCCCCCCCCTGCACCCCTGATCTCTCCCACACACCCTGGTGCCTGCCACCCCCTGCACCCCCGATCACCCCCTGCACCCCAGTGCATACCCACCCTCTGCAACCCCTGCACCCCAATGTGTGCCACCCCCTGCACCCCTGATCACCCCCCCCCCGCACTCTAGTGTGTGCCACCCCCTGCACCCCAGTGCATATACACTCCCTGCATCCCATAATGTGCCCACACCCTGCACGCCCGATCTCCCCCCGCACCCTGGTGTGAACCACCCCGGCACCCCCATTTCCCTCCGCACCCCGGTGCATACCCACCCCTTTCACCCCTAATCCCCCCACGCACCCCAGTGCGTGCCACCCCCCTGCACCCCCAAACTCCTCCCACATCCCGGTGTGTGCCACCCCCTGCACCCCTGATCCTCCCCCGCACCCCGGCGCACACCCACCCCCTGCACCCCCCCGCACCCCGGTATGTGCCACCCCCCGCACCCCCTCGAACACCCCCGCACCCCAGTGTGTGCCACCCCTGTACCCACCGCGCCCCGCTGTGTGCCACCACTGCACCCCAAAACTCCCCCCGCACCCCGGTGCATACCCACTCCCCGAACCCCGGTGTGTGCCAGGCCACCCCACTGGTCCCGGGGCTCCCCCACCCCGCGCACAGCGCCCCCCCCCCCGGTACCGGACTACATCTCCCAGCGGCCCTTGCGCGGCGTCACGTGGGCGGCGGGAGATTCAAATCGCGGGTGGGGCCGCCGCGGCCGCAGCCATGGAGGGAGCGGGGTCGGTGCGATGTGAGTGGCCGGGGCGGGGGGGGAACAGGCGGGTCTGGGGGTGCGAGGGGTGCGGCGGGGGTTGGAGTTCAGGTGGGGAGGGGGACAGCGGTCGGACACCGGGAGCCTGGGTACGGGCTGGAGGGGATGTGTTTTGGGGGGGTGCTGGTGGGTGCCCCCCAGCAGTCGTGGGTGTTCCCAGCACCAGCGGTATGAGAGCACCCCGAAACTGCACCTGTGCCCCCCTCCCCGCCCCGGGGGCACCCTTTTTTCTTTGGGGGAAAAAAAGGAGATGGAAACGTTCCTCCAACCGCCAGACGAGCCTGGGGGGGGGGGTGTGGGGGTGTGTGTGTCACGATCGCTGCCAGGTCTCAGCGCGGTGCCACCCACGCGAGGGCTGGGGGAGGCGCGGGTTGGCTGCTGTGCTGAAAACCTGCCTCTCCTTTGCCAAAGCTTAATTTGGGTGGCGATGGGTGCTTAAAACACCCCCCACGCCCCCCCCCCGGGGTAGCGGGGTTTGACGGCGGGTCCCTGTCACCACCCAGGCGAGCGCCTCACCGCAGACGAGATGGACGAGCGGAGGAGGCAGAACGTCGCCTACCAGTACCTGTGTCACTTGGAGGAAGCCAAACGGTGGGGCTGGACCTGGGGGGGGGCGCACTCGAGCTCAAATTTGGGGGGCAAAAGGAGTGTGGGGGGGTGGGGGTGGAGCTGCAAGGCATAATGCTGCAAAATCCTGCCTGCTCCTGGGGCTTTCTGGCTTTCAAAGGTGGACTTTGGGGTTGTTTTTTTTTTTTTTTTTTGGGGGGGGGGGGGCACTCAGCCACGCTGCTGCACCCAAACTGAAACCCACCACCTGTCTGCTAAAGCCTGCAGTAAAGGGGTGGGGGCCGACCTCTCCCTGCCACGGGGTGGGGGGGTTTATGGGGATGAAGCGGGGGGGTGTCTCCTTTGGGTGCTGCTTTTCCTGTCTGGGTGGGGGGTACTGGGGGTCTGCGATGCGCCCCGTTTCTGCCCTGCCAGCTGGATGGAGGCCTGCCTGAGCGAGGAGCTGCCCCCCCCCACGGAGCTGGAAGAGAGCCTGCGCAACGGGGTCATACTGGCCAAGCTGGGCCACTGCTTTGCCCCCGCCGTGGTCCCTCTGAAGAAGATTTATGACCGTGAGCAGATGCGGTACAAGGTAGGACTGTGGGGCATGAACCTTGGGGTGTACCCCAAAATTTGCAGGAGCCTTTCCTTTGCTGGTGAATACAAAGTGAGGGGGGGCACACACACATACTGATTGCAGTCGTTAAGGGACAACTTAATAGACCTCAGCTGCAAACGGGGTCTCTGAGCTGTGCTGTCCCCGTGGGGGGGTGTGTGTGTGTCACAGGCTTTGCTTCCGTCTCTAACCTTATGGCTGAGTGGGTTTGAGGGAGAGGGGGACCCCAGGGATGGGAGAAAGTGGAGTTCAGCCTGATTCTGGCTTCTTCTTCCAGGCAGCCGGGCTTCACTTTCGGCACACGGATAACATCAACTACTGGCGCGATGCCATGAGCCACGTGGGGCTTCCCTCGGTAACGTGTGCCCGTGTCCCCCTCCCCGAGCCAAGGGACACGCTGGCCTTTGCCATTGTGGCATCACGCCACCGGCTCGGCTCGTTGAGGGGAGGGCTGGTGTTGTAGGGGACAGAGATGAAACCTCCCCCCCTGCCCTTGGACACCTCCTCCCCATGGTCCCCTCTCAGTGCCATCTCCTCCTGAGCTCTTTCTCATCTGGTTGGCAGATCTTCCACCCGGAGACCACCGACATCTATGACAAGAAGAACATGCCCCGGGTGGTCTACTGCATCCACGCGCTCAGGTGGGTGTCCCTGGCCTGGCCCAGGGGCCAGAGCTGTTGTCATGGGTCGTGTCTGCGCTCGCGAGCCCTTTGGTGGCATCACCCCCAGGGCTGGGGTGACAGCCTCGGGTGTTGCAGAAGCGTTGAGAGGGAGAAACAAGGGACTTGCATGGTCACCGTGCGTCTGCTTCGTCTTTCAGCTTGTACCTCTTCAAGCTGGGGCTGGCTCCTCAGATCCAGGACTTGTATGGGAAAGTGGATTTCACGGGTACGGCACCGCACGGGGGAACCTGGGCCAGGGATGAGGGTTTGCCAACGATGCTCTTGCATCTCTGTGGTGGGGAGGGGATGTGGGGAATGAAGACCTTGGCCAAGCTTTCCCAAAGCTGCCTCGGTGATGCTTACCCCAGTGTGAGTGTTTCCTGCACCCCTCTGGTTTGGCTGGGGGGCTCCACTGGCTGCCCCCGCTCCTGTGCTGGACCACAGCACTGGCGCTGAGCGGTGATGCCTCTGTGCTCTGCTCCAGAGGAGGAGATCAACAACATGAAGAAGGAGCTGGAGAAGTACGGCCTGCAGCTGCCTGCCTTCAGCAAGATCGGGGGCATTTTGGCCAACGAGCTCTCTGGGGACGAAGCAGCAGGTAAGGGGTGCCTGTGGGGGGAGCAGTGCTGTGTATCAGCCCGTAGCAGGATCTCTGCTCAGCCCCTAAATGTTAAATCTGGGGCCAGCAAACTGAAAGATGCTCCCCTTCCGACCCGGACATGGGTGGAAGGGCTGGCACAGCACCCGAGGTTTTGCATTAGCTGGGCTTGTTGGAGAGATACTGAGACTTCCCGGGCCCCTGGAGAAGTTGGGGTTCCCGCAATCGTGCGTGGGGTGGCTTGTCCCGCGGGATGTAGCGGGGGGTCGGGGGTGTCCCTCCGTGCCCTGTCTCACCTGCCTGCTTCCCACTTCGCCTCCAGTCCATGCCGCGGTGCTGGCCATCAACGAAGCGGTGGATCGGGGGGTGGTGGCCCAGACGATGGGGGCTCTCCGCAACCCCAGCGCGATGCTCCTCGACCTGCGTGAGGGGCTGGCGGGCGCCTACCAGGAGATGCTCCACCGGGCGAAGCTGGAGAAGGGGAGCAATGCCAGGAACAGGGTGAGGACAGCACGGTGGGGGGGGGGTCCAGGGGGGTTGGGAGAGGAGCAGCTCCATCACTGATGTGCTGGTGAGGGCTTCCAGCTGGAGGG